TTGCAAAGCGATTCACACTATTAACTCCCATCATGGTTTTATTGTGGAAAGATGTTGCAAGCTCGGTCCACACAAGTGGAGCCATGTGTCAGTTCAGGAATCACGGCTGCCAAAGCCCAGCTGGAGCAGGTGCAGACGCAGATTGGCCACTCGTGGCTAATAGACTGCTCCCAATCTTACCCCCAGCCGGCTGGCACTGAGCCCTGAGGCTTCATCCTCCCAGCAAAGGTCCTGGAAATGGCTGGACTGAATTAGTCCCCCATATAACATGGGATGATCTTGCATTCACCCCAGTGGGATGTATGGTCATAAAAATCTTTTCTGTAAGCCTTCCTGCCTTCATCCTACACCCAGGACAGACCCACGTCCTATTACTGCCAATGCAATTTCACATCAGACATCTGTAGGGTGATATCCATTCAGGAATGACAGAGAGAGTGAGAGAGAAGGAAAACTTGGGCCCTTGACATGCTGAGCATAAGATGAGTGAGGGGTAAGCAGGCTGGTTGGTTCCCCTCCCCAGCCAGGGATAATTTGCATAAAGCCGCATTTTCCCCAGCAACAGTCTCTGATTGGTCCCTGTCTGTCCACCGGCTGACTCCAGTCCTGACCAGCCTGTTCTCAGTCCGCCTGCCAGGACACATTCTAAAGACTAAAGACGGAGAGAGATCCAGCTCAGCCCCACGCCTCCCCTTTAACCCCCAGATCTAGATTACAACCTTTTGAGGCTCCAAGCATTGACGATGGCGATGCCCCCAGCCACTGTCCTAGCCCCTCACTGTGCAACTCACAACAAAACAGTATTTTGCAGAATGACACAAAACTGACATTGATGCTGGAATTCAAATAGCCTTATTCTGGATTTTCAGATTGCAAAATCCTGAATAAGCTTGTCAAGAATGAGCACCTCTCTGTCTCTTAGGGTGTGTGTTCTTGTGTGAGTGTGTGCCTGGATGTGAGCGTGGGTGACTCTGGTGTGAGTCTGGGTGCAGGGGTGTGAGTATGTGTGTTTCCTGGCTTTTTATTTCTGGGGGGACAGAGTCTTGCTCTGTCACCCACGCTGGAGTGCAGGGGCGCGATCTTAGCTCACTGCAAATTCCTCCTCCCAGGTTCAAGCAATTCTTATGCCTCAGCCTCCCGAGTAGCTGGGACTACAGTCGTGCACCACCATGCCCGGCTAATTTTTGTATTTCTAGTAGAGATGGGGTTTCACCATGTTGGCCAGGTTTGTCTCGAACTTCTGACATTAAGCCTTCCACCCACCTTGGCTTCCCAAAGTGCTAG